TGGCCCCTCGGACTTCAAAAAATCGAGTTTGAGACCTGCTCCCACATCATACAAACAAGTCAATTCTCAATTCCTTTTTTCTGGAGGCTGCTGGTTCGCAAGTTTATTCCTTAAAGAACCAGCGGGGTGGTTTTGGCGGGACCTCCTCTCAGTACAACTGAGAAGTTGTACAAACACCCGTGGGAAACAAAAAGGGTTGTTGTTTGACCCCAAAAACAACTGGCATCCTACACCGACTGCAGACAATCGACAAAAATGACGGACAGATACAGTCCAGACTTATACGGCGCCACTTTAGACGAGTTAGTCATGGTTCTAAGGCAAGGCCCAATTCCTGCGGCCGTATCAGAATCCGATTTTAACGAGCCTGATGTCCCGCTCGCCGCAACAAGCCTAAATCCGCCGGACGCAGCGGAGCTTACTACGCTCGCTTTTTGCTGAACTTGAAGACTTTGAAGGCAAAAAGACGCCGAAGCTAAGAAAAGCTTATTGCGCAACACCTCCAACATCAGCATCATCAATGCAACATACTTTAAGATTATCAAGTAGGGCAAGTGTGGGGCCGGGCTATACAAACGCTAGAGGATGATGCATATCACCTAGTAACTGGGGGTGGGTAAAAAAGGAAAATTCATGGTAGCCAATATGGTCTTCCTAATCAACAAAAATGGGCGGCACCAGTTAATCGAAAAGTTGACTTCGTTAATCGTTAAGGCCCGAATTCACCAATGCGTAAAACTCTGATTTAAGATCTTAAACGCAATTTCGGCTACAATTGGAATTCACCATATGCCTAAATCCGTAGTTTGTTCCTGAAACTACTGTCAGGAGCAAAACGGCTGTTCATTGGGCGTTTACGGATCAAAACGACGTTTTACCGTAGTTCGTGACAGAAAATGAAAATACTTTGGTACATTTGGTTCATCTTCTTCTGTTCTGTTTGTTTTTTTTTTTTGTGTAGGTAATGGAAAATACTAATTTCGGCAATGAATCCTGCAAAGTGCAATTGCTTCCACAAGCAATCATAATAGTTGTATTCCTTTCACACCTATGAGGAGCTCCGGAACAGCTCCGGGACTTTACGCGCTCATTCTTTTCGAAAAGTGTTTGTTGCACCTGAGTACTCAAGCCCCAAGTAAACCATTTAAATGCATGAAAGCCAGCGCATCTGTTCCTTTTAAATCGGGGCGATTAACACCGGAGCGAGTAGCTCTAGTGTTTCAAACTCTTGAAATCAATACAGCTATTCTTTCCAGAGCTGAAATATTCCTACTCTCATCCTTTTTTTTGGTATCCCTAGTTCTAATGAGCCAAATACTTGTGCCATTTTTTATGTTTTACTTTAGGATAATTAACAACAATAATACATGTAATGTCACAACACCAAAAACAATAAATTTTGAGTGAAACTTGACGACATAACCTGAATTTTCTCGTCTTTTTTCTTCTATTTCGTGCTATTTCCGCTGTTGCCAAATTGTGCATTCACTTAATCGCCGTTTCGTTAAACTGCAGCTGATAAACGCATTACACATATCGGTGAATACCGCATACCAAAACTACGTTTTAATTTACGTCGCTTACGATAAACGACGTTTAGGAAAACGGCGATGTCAGCGTTTTTGGTGAATTTGGGCCTAATTCGCTACTTGAAAAGTTAACTTCGATAATCGTTAATCGTTAAATTTTTGAGAATATAACGCAAGTTAAAGTTATGTGTTAAAAGTTAATCATCGAAAAGTTATACTGATGCTTGAAGCTAATTATAAGTAATAGATAATTGAAATAGAATAGGCTGGGCTAGGGTATAGTATTTTTAATACCTATTTGGAAGTACTAGTCGTTTTAGTGATTTGTGATTGGTTGGTAATTTTTTGTTTCATCTGATTCATGATTACCTACACTCCTACACAGGTGAATGTGAATAAAACAAAAAGTATCCAGATCTAAAAAGCGGCATTATTTCTAATTTATAGGTACTTAGCTGATTTATTTACCATTCACCTCTGCAAGAAAAAGGAGCTTATAGAACAATGCAGACAACGCCACAGCCCAACGATAGGCCTCAGCTTACAGCCTATCTAATAACAGAACTAAGGGCTTGCGCATCGATCTCACTGTACGGAATCGGGTTTGGAGTCATTCCAGAGCAGTTCCAAACTGCGTAGTGTAGCGAACACTGAGATATTTCTACACCTGCGCGAACTGTCCTGATTGACCTTGACACGCAATTCAAGCAAACAAAGTAACGTCATTTACGAAAGTCCAATGTAACGGAAGTTAAGAAAACCGTTAATATTTTTCTAGGTTAACTTAAAAGTTAAATTTAAGCAATTTTTTTAACTTCGTTAATTAACGGATAACGGATTAACGGTTTTCTGCCCAGCTTTGCTAATCAAATATATGGAACGCCTGCAGGGAATTAGAAAAATGTGGCTGTAAATCGAGGTGCAATAATTCTTTGCGGTGTTCCTGTAATAAAGCGACACTGTGCTGTGCATTGCAATGCAAATGCAAAGGCCAGTGTGAAAATAAATAACAATGCTTACAGTTTCGAGATAGCTCATTTATTTTTCCATAAAAAATATCAGCATTTGCGAATTGACCTAATTAAATTTTGAATTAATTCTTGTTCAAATTGTGACCCTAGCAATACTACTGTACGCCACTGACAACTATATTTAGGAAAATTACAATATTTCAAGTGTGATATCGGTTTGGTGTTTTTAATAATAAATTTTATAAAAATTGTATTAAAATTAAAAAAAAAAAAAAAATATCTTGAAACCTAAATAGTGTGATTTTGTTAAATAGTTTTTTTTTTGTCAAAAACTAATAAATAATTGGTGGTTCTGAAAAAATTATATTATTTTCTTCTAAATCACCTTTCAGTTATCCAAAAATAACACCAATACCACTAAAATCAGATAAAAAATGGTATTTTTTAACGGCCATATTGGAAAAGCCGCCATTTTGATTCCTACAGGACCAAATAAAGTGTGCTGCGGGTAGAATCTCTTAAAATAGCCAAAATAACACCCCCATAAAATTTCATGCTTTTATCACAATTTGCAGATGGATTTTAAATACCCATGGCGACTATAAGCAAGAGAAACAGCACTGCTTGAAAACACAGAAGTTGGGCTCGTGCTCATAGCCTCCATCTTCTAGCTGTTTTTCCTGGCGCGTTTCCAAATCATAGAATACGTAAAGAATTTCCTTTGTTTTTGGACTGCCTGTGTCGGTCTTCATAAAACATAAATGTCCTTGAAAGTTGAAGACAATTCTTTTGGCATCAGATTTTACAGAAAACTTCGCCAAAAGTATGGCCTCTATCCGCTCTCGCAGTTTTCAAGCAACTGGGGCATGATCTAATTTGATCACAAAAGGTAAATTTTCCCAACGATCTTGTTTTTATAATATGATTGTCGTAACACAGTTGATTCCTGAATGTTCGCAGGCAGTTTCGACACTTGATTTTAATATAATTTTTGCAAGGTGGCGACTGTTGAATTCCGGCGCAAGTTTTGAAACATCTATGTTTACTCTTTTGTTTACATGGCATGTGACACGACTCAAAAAAAAAATTACAGCAAAAGGCAGCCGTTAGTGGAGTTATTACATTGTAATGCCCGTTATGATACATACATTCAATTCAGATTCTTAGAGCCCTGTGAACCTGAAAAAATCAGATCTCGTCCTTTGGACCCATATTTGTAAACAACTATTCTATAGTCTGGCTGCAGAAAATCTTGGAATTTTTTAACTTCGGTTATTCGGCAACCCTCGTCTGGTATTTGTACGATAGCATCACTCGTTATTTTCTTGGCTCTCAAGGTCTGGAGCTTTTCGATATATCTCCGTAATTTCACATAATTACGATCCTTATCGACGTGCGCCTCAGATACCACCAAAGCACGTGGTGAACATAAATTGTCTTTATTGCTAATGGTAATGAGGCCATGGCTTCTGCTACACTCCTCTTCAAACGTATTATAATTTCGACCTCGACCCCTACCCACAGGCATCCTAACCGAGGTTATACTCAAACAGAATGTTTCTGTATTTAGACCGGATGAATTCGATTGGTAAACATTGGAAATGACATCCCAGACGTCATCTAACGTAACTTCGCCTGCAGGCCTAAAACGAACCCAATCATCTCCACGTGCAAAGTCCTTACACCTGAAACTTATTGCAACTTGGTCAGTCGGTAAAAGTGCCTGCGTAGCCTTGTTAATAATCCCTTTAATTGCTTCTTTAACCCATGACACGGGTTTCAAATATTTGGGAATTTCTTTCAGTTTAAATTCCAGCGTTCTTCTACGAAGATTAAATCGACGTATATTTTTGGGAAAATCTTTGACAATAATAAATGTTTCCATTTGATGAGTAGCTTTTCAGACTCGTCGTATATTTACTAATAAGGCTAAGTGAAGAATGAGCTAACAACTATCTTGCTTTAGCGACTGCTTCTTCTGTTTCATACGAAATCCGCCTCTGCGTCGCAGTATAAAATATGTGAACGCCATCTTGTTATCTGTTGAGCCTAAAATATAACAATCAGGCACTCATCCACTCCTGTTATTTTAACAGCTATGTTATAGCTGATGGAGTAGATTAAAGGTCATCTTGTATTTATTAAGAAATTTAAAATATAATTTGTTTATTAGGTGCATTGGGAATCCATTGTTAAAAGCAATGTGTTTAATAATATTAAGTTCCTTGTGAAAAGCCTCTTTGGATAGCGGGATATTGAAGAGTCTATAAAAAAGGGAATTAAAGGAGGCAAATTTATAGGAGTGTGGAGAGTTGGAGGAATATTGGATGACGTTGTCAGTAGTGGTGGGCTTACGATAGATTTCAAATAGCAATTTTCTCTCTATTTTGACGTATAGAATAAACAGTGACAGGCAACTTAACGTTGCTGTTAAAATAACAGAGAATGATACATCATAGGCCTGATTGTGTTCTTTATTTTTATGTTATCTGTCAAAATAATGTCAAAAATAAATAAAAGTCAAAAACGAACAAATAGAGGCGATTTCGCCTCAGTTTGGTACCCCAGTTTGGTCTGTCAAACAGGTACCATTCAATTTCGGATGGGTGAATGATGCTGTCACCTGTGGCTGTCACAACAACTTTGGTAGGCCCTTTGGTCTGTCAGATGCTATACCGAGGTTTGACTGGGTGGTGGAGGTTTGGTAGCTTCCTGTTTCTTTTTCTCTCATGTCCAAATAAACATGTCAAAGTCAAAATGTACCAAATACCCTATCCACTGAATTCGGATGAGATTGATGAACTACGTCACTTAGGTACCAATTGGTTAACCATTCGCCTACCAAACAGCAGATGAAAATCTGGGGCGAAATCGCCTTGGGTAAACTTTTTTCAAAAAAAAAAAATCGAAATCGGAAAAAGAAATCCCAATCCTACAAAAATTATTTAGAAGGTACAAAGGTAGTCAAATTGCCCAACTTTTTCCTAATCTATCCAACATTGTAACTCCAACCGTTTCCCAAATCCTAATGCTATCCCATCCTTATCTTGGATACACTATATATTGGTTGACAACTGGTTGAGGCCAATAAGAAACATTCATATTCAAATCAAAAATTTTTCGTCGAATACCTGAGGTCAGGAAAGAAAGGTTGAACCTCGCAAACTCGACACAAGTTCTGGTTTTTTTTTCTGGTAAAACAAGGGCTGCTAATTATAGGTCTAACTTTTTCCAACAAAATTTCTCCCTAAAACATCCCCCTAAAGGTCGTTTTTTGTAGTTTTTCCGAAACGTAGCCCTTCAGATGATATGAAAGAGGCTCATTTAAATTTCAACATCCTGTATATTTTAAACGGGTAACTGTTTTTAGATAAAACATATACCAAAAAATCGGCGAATTATGAGTAGGTATATGCTGCATGGCTTGTGGTGGATTTGCTTTACTGTTTAGTAAAAAAAAAATCCAAAACATCTTTTTTCGTGTGTGTGTCGAGTTTGCGAGGTTCAACCTCTTTTTCCTGGCCTATTAGAGTGTGTTATAAAACTTTAGCCAGAGATACAAATTGTTATTAAAAATGCAAAGTAAACAATGAGACAAATTTCAAAAAAATAACATACTTTTTTGTAGAGTTTGGAAACCCGAATTATCATTGGAAGTTTTTCTACATCCATAGCTCCGTTTATTTTTTGTGCAGTAAGTATGCTTTTTTTTTTTTCATCGAGTCATCGACTCATAAAATATTCGTTCTAGGCCTACGACTTAGGAATGTTTGGCAGCGAATATGTTTGGATACTAGAAACTCCCAGAAAGATCTGGTGGCAGAACCTAAAATGTGATTGTGATTCCGAGAATCTTCAAAAAGCTATTGAAGGAGTGATCGTGGTTGGCGACTATGAATTCACCTATTATGATGAATATCTATTGAATAAAATGGTAAAAATTTACATCTAAAAACTATATATGGGTTTATAGGTGAGCACATTCTAGAAAACTCTATCTTTGGAGTCGAGATATGCAAAACACACATATGACGCTATATGGACCATGGCTTTAACTCTGCGAACAAACAATATGAATTCACTTCAACATTTCAATTACGGAAGAAAGGATATGACGTGTGCCTTTTATGATACAATGAGAAGATTGAAATTTTTAGGATTGTCAGTAAGAACATTTCTTTCCGCCATTTTTTTTCTATGCATCAAAGTTGTTACTTTTAGGGACCTATTAAATTTGATGGCGCAGACAGGGTGGGTGACTTGGTTGTCAGTCAGATTCAAGGTAGGTCATATCAAATTTTTTGAATAGAATTCCAAATTTCATGATCAAACAAAATTGTAGTAGATGGTCCATTCACTCGACTTATAACTGGTACACTGATTTTTTGGCTTAAAAAAAAATAAAGAAAGTTAACAACTCGAATTTTGAGAGTTAGTTTTTAAAAAAATTTATTTTCAATGGTGGTTACAATACAACTGACTTAAACCTAAGTAAAATTAATATTTATAATTATTAGCTTTGCTGACAAAGCTGTTCCCAAGAAATGCAACGGTCGGACTTGTTCTGAAAACAAAGTAACAAACTGCTGAACTCTTAAGTTTATGAGAATGTAACTCCTCCCGTGTAAGTTGAAAGCACGTACTGAAAAATAAAAAACGTGATTTCACAAAAATACAAAAATAATTAAAAAATGCCTTCAACTTCATCACTTTTTTCGAATTTTCTTAATGCACAATAAGCTGAAAAAGTAAATTAAAATTAATATAATGATTAAGTATAATAATATTGTCCAGAGACTGCGGCGATTTGAATAAATCGTCGTGGTTGACATTTCTTCAAGTTTCTTCTTTTGTTCATGAAGTTTTTCTTTTATGTCTTTGGATGTCTTGACGTTAATGATGTTCAAATCCAATGAAGGTAGGTCGTAGGGCATTGATTGGTTATGGTTAATCAATGATAGGTCCAATATCGGTAAATTGACTTCTTTAAAAGAGAGTCGACTTGGCTTGAAGCTCTCGAGGGTGGTTGATTGTATTTTGGCTTTACAATCAACGGGCACTTCTAGTAGGTAGGATCCGAAGATGGTGTTTTGCGCTTAGCACACTTTTGTGCAATCACCTTGTTGCACTTGCAGGGGTGATATTGCACTAGATTGAGTTTTGAGTTTGAAAATAAAAAATACTTCTTTTGACCAATTTTACGTCGTTTATTAGTAGGTATATCAAGGACCCAGCTCTGATGAAAAATAATTCGAACCTTTTCTACATATTTAAGGCATAGAAATCGCCACAAACAAAAATGAATAAATGCCAAAAAACAAGATAAATTAGATTTCTTGGCTTCTAGAGCAAGCTACTTGTCTCTACTTGTTGGTTCTACGGTTGATACCTGAGAGAGGGTAGGGCCGCTCGCCCCACAGCTGATCGAGGGAGAGAGGACGGTGCGGTACGCATTTCCCTTAAAGCCACCCTTACACTATGCGTTGGGTTAATGCTGCAAGCAAATCCCAACATACCGCCGCCCTTGAAAGTACCAGGATAATAATGCAATTAGTATCGTGATGCTTTCAACAAAAAATAAAATAACGAGATTTTTATACATAAATTTATTTCTATACAAAGATTTCAGAAGCTGGGGTTTCCTAAAAACTAAGATTACAAAATTATATAGATATTATAAACATAGGTTTGGCTATTAAATACCAAACTGATAACGTAACAAAAGGATAAAAATTAACAAAATTAAATTTTCTGATAACATAAAGTCTAGTTTGTGTCAAAAAAACAACTCAGGATAATAATTGTTAGGGAATAAGTAAAGTGAATAAAGAAAAAACAAAACAAAAAATCGCTATTTCAGCACACTGCACTAAGCATTGTTTGACTCGATTGGAAGCGGGCAAATTTTTACTATGCTTCGCTTAACAATACCGTTTGTCGTTTTTACACTCACCACCCGAACCACATTGTCACTACCTGGATGTACGGCGACGATACGTCCTAGGCGCCATTGTAAAGGAGGCACTCCATCCTCCTTGAGGAGCACTAAGGTACCAAGTAAGTCCCCTTGCTTGGTTTGGAACTTCCATTTATAACGTTGGTGTAATGTATGAAGATATTCGGCAGACCATCTAGCCCAGAAATGCTGTACTAGTTTCTGGATATGAGCGTAATGGGAGAGACGGTTTGAGGCTGTTTGCGCTAAGTCGAGTCCGGGTATAGAGTTCAATGGACGACCAATTAGAAAGTGGCCTGGCGTGAGAACTTCGAGGTCGTGGGGATCGTCGGTGAGAGGAGTTAGAGGACGAGAATTTAAAACCCCTTCAACTTGAACAAGGAAGGTATAGAATTGCTCATAAGTGAGCGGCGTGGAATTAAGAATTCGTTTTAAATGCTGTTTGACCGACTTGACAGCAGCTTCCCACATTCCTCCGAAATGAGGTGACCTAGGAGGTATAAAATGCCACTGTATCCTGCTATGGACAAGAAAGTTCTGAATCTCACCACTTTCCACGAGTGCATAAATAGAGGCAAGTTCATTATTGGCTCCTATAAAGTTGGAACCGTTGTCTGAGTAAAGGTTCTGACAAATACCGCGCCGGGCGGTAAAGCGCCTTAACGCGGAAATAAATGATTCTGTACTGAGTTCCGTAGCAAGTTCCAAATGAACTGCCTTGGTTGTCAAGCAAACAAAAACACATATGTAACATTTGAAAAATTTCTTGTTTCTGAATTTTGAATCCTTCAATAGAAAGGGACCAGCATAATCCACACCGGTATTGCAAAATGGATATGATGGCGTTACTCTTACACTTGGCAAATTACCCATTTGGGTGGTCAACGGTTTTGGATTGGTTTTAAAACAAGGAATGCATTTTCTCAGAATTCCTTTAACTAAACATTTTCCTCCCAAGGGCCAGAATTGTTGTCGTACGGATGAAAGTGTTGCTTGAAATCCAGAGTGGAAATTTCGAGTATGCTCATGGAGCACGATTAATTTGGACAATCGGTGATCATGAGGAAGTAATATCGGGTGTTTTTGGTCGAAATTTAGGTTGGCATTTTGGAGTCGTCCTCCTACACGTAATATGCCACAGTCATCAATAAAGGGATTCAAAGTTCTTAAGTGGCTACTTGGTTTTACAGAATCAGATTTCTTCAAATTAGTTATGTCTTCAGTGAAAACTTCCCCTTGCACCAACCTGACAACACGCTGCATGCTATCTAAAACTTCAGATTGCTTCAATGCACCCTTTTCCCGTTGGGCTTTGGGCAGTCTGCAATTTCTTGAGAACCTTAGCCAATAGGCTACTGAGTGTAATAGACCTGTGTAACAAGAAACTTTATCAAGTGTCAATCTGAAACTGTCCGAAATAGTTTGTGCAAGAAGAACTATAGACCTTGGGTTTAATTCAGGAAGATCCAATAATTTTTCATTGTATTGACGAGTATAATTGCATAAGTGACTATCTGATGGCCATTTGTCGCTTTCATTTAATAAAAACGCAGGGCCATGCCACCACAGTTGATTATCTCTCAAGTCAAGAGGATTGACTCCTCTAGAAATTAAATCAGCAGGGTTCTGCAAGGATTTGACGTGGTACCAATTATTAGTATTAGACAACTGCTGGATTTCTGATATTCTATTTCTCACAAACGTTTTGAGACTACGAGGTTCCAGTCCGAGCCAACTCAAAACGATTGTGGAATCAGTCCAATAGAAAATCTTGTCTATCTGTGAATCTAAAATCTGGCAAACATTTTTTGCCAGTTTGGGTAATAATAACGCCCCACACAATTCAAGTCTGGGTATAGGAAGCATAATCTTTAGAGGAGCTACGCGGGATTTTGCACACAATAGGTTTGTAGTTATCTGGTCATGGAAATCTTCACACCTTACATAGATGCAGGCCCCATAAGACTTTAGAGATGCATCACAAAACCCGTGTATTTGGATGGTTTTGGGGTTTTTTGCAGTAACCTGCCTGGGAATTTTTAATGAGATTGCTTCTGCTAATTGTTTAGTGAAATGTATCCAAACGCGGCACAGGTCGTTAGGTATAGGGTCATCCCAAGCAATTTTCAATAACCATAATTTTTGTAGCAATACTTTAGCTTGGACTATAATAGGACCTAAGAGTCCTAAGGGGTCAAAAATTTGGGAGATAATAGAAAGTATGGATCGCTTTGTAATTCGATGTTGTGGAACAGTCACCTTAGACTTATATATAAAATTATCAGTATGAGAAATCCAAGATATCCCTAAAGTTTTAGAGTCTTGAGAATTATTTATCATGAAATCTCTAGGAGCTTCGTGCACTAGATCTGACAGAATGGTTGGATGATTTGAAGCAAATTTTCTCAAGTCAAATTTATAGTTTTTAAGTATGGAGGTTAAATTTTTTCTGATCTCAATGAGGTCATCAATAGTCCGAGCTCCGGTGATAACGTCATCCACATAAAAGTCATGGGACAATATATGACTTTCTACAGGAAAAGTGGATGCACACTCAATTGAAATTTGCTGAAGGCATCTGGTTGACAAAAAAGAAGCACTAGCTGTTCCGTAAGTAACAGTATTAAGTTCAAAATGAGTAAGTTCGTTTTCCTTGTTGTCACGCCAAACTATACGCTGCAAGCATCTTTGGGTAGGCTCAATAAGTATTTGGCGGTACATTTTGGCAATGTCGCCAGTGATGACAAAGTTGTGCCGTCTAAAACGAATGAGGATGGAAAAAAGGTCATTTTGAATGGTGGGACCGACTCTGAGTACATCATTTAAAGAAATGCCAGAAGAGGTTTTAGCGGACGCATCAAAAACTACTCTGAGCTTGGTTGTTAGACTATCTGTTTTTTCTACAGCATGATGGGGAAGATAAAAAATAGGGTATGAAACGTTTTTATTTGGATCAATCTTTGACATGTGACCTAGATTGTGATATTCATGTATGAAATCAATGTATGCCTTTTTATATTCTTGGTTTTTCTCAAATTTCCTTTCAATGGCAAGAAATCTTTTTATTGCTATCTCCTTTGATTCTCCCAGTCGATTAAAATTGTCCTTTAATGGGAGGGTGACTTGAAATCTGCCCGAAGGCGTACGGCAGTGTGTATTAACAAAATGGGATTCACACTTAAGTTCTTCTGTGGAAAACTTATTTGTACTGATGTCCGATACTTCTTCAATTTTCCAGAACTTCTCAATGGTTTCTTATAAATGATCATTATTGATGCTAACAAAGCAGGCTGTATGAGAAGGTTTTGGATTAGGAAGAAAGATGGGACCTGAAATTATCCAGCCAAGT